CAAAAATAGTATAATATAAAATTTGAAAAATGGTGAGAGCTTTATCAAAGTAAGCATTTAAGAGTAATTTCCGAAAATGTCAGTTTTATACAACAGTTTAATTTAAGATTTTGCTGGAATTTTTATGACTTTTCTGTTTGGTTGGTGTGCGAGTTACAAAGATCTTGGGGTGAGGAATTTTGCCAGCCCAAAATAGAAGACCAAAAATCGTTATTTGCAAGAAATTAAGAGAGTTTTGCATTAAATCACTTTTTGCAGCTTGGATAGAGCCACATTATTGTTCTCCTTGAAAATGAATCCAAGTCAGGAGTAAAAAAAATTTAATTCTAAATGCCTTTACAGAAAAAGTAACGTTAAAAACCAAAAAAATATTTTCAAATGCATATAAAAATCTGAATTATTAATTTGTACCATATACTCTCCACAATTGCCTTTCACACTGCCATCATTTGTGATCCAGACAAAAACTAAATACCTTTTTATTTCAGCAAATTTTTCAGCCAAACAATCAGCTTTTACAAAATGTCAATGAAAACGTCACTGACGAAAGAATGTCGAGGATTAACTCGACCAAAAAACAAAAAAAAAAAACAACTACAAAATAGATGTTGAGCTCGCAAATACACACGAGCGCATGCGCACCGCAGTACGAGCTACAATTTTAGCAAATATTGTTGAGACAAGCAACAACAACAGCAAATACTTTAGCATCTCTTTTACGCTCTAACCCTCTACCAACCACAGGGATGAGCTGTGCGCACAAAACTACAGAGTCTATTAAAAGTCTAAAGGCAGATAATAAAGGGCCATTAGGACTTAAAAGGGCTCAGCCCAACAAATTTTGCTCAATGCTATATAGAGCAGTATACATATATACATATACATATACATACATATAAATATGTATGTTTCCAAAATTTATTGCTGATGTTTTCTTTCTGTTGTGCTAATTTGGTTTTCGCAACTGCATACATACACACATGCATATAAGTAGAAAACTGTGAACAGTGTCGGTTGATGGAAGTGGGACAAATTGGTTGAAATTGCAGAGGACATAAAAAAGGTTGCAGTCATTTTATAAATTACAGTGATCTACAGTGGTTGTGTTGCTCTAGTCATAAGATCTATTTTAAATATATTTGGGCTCACAAATTATGAAACTTTGAATGATTTTGTAAAATTTGCTCTTTGCCCTTATTTCCATTGTAATTAAAAAAATAGTCAGAAAACATGAAAAAAAATAACACATTGACAATCTGTTTTTAAGCATCGAAAGTAATCTGCCCCCATATGACGATCCCATTAAACTTGACACCTTACTTCCATCACTTCTGGATGCTGGTGGATGTTTCACCCTCCCTTCACTTCGAGCTGTGTTAAAACTCTAATATTGCTTGTACATAATCGGTCTGAAGATATCATATAAAGTCATGAAATCTAAAGTTCTACCTTTTTTCTACTCCTATAGCACTGAGTCAGAAAATTTATCGAGGTCTTCCGATGCTAAATTTGAGCTTTGTACAGTAAAAGATCTTTAAGTTACACTTAAAGTCCATAAATCCTTGGGTTTTAACTCGGTTTTATTAAAACTTTTCCTGATATGACAGTATCTAACAAAAACTCCCAGGGCAAAGAAACTGTTCCTCAGAAAACTGATAGGGTTTCGGTTCTTACCGTACATTGTTTTCCTATTGTTAACTCCAAATACAAGAACAGAACACGTGAACCGCAGAAACCTAGTAAAGTTTCGTCTCTTATCATCAATGAACTTCTAAAGGATTTTTTTCAAACAATTATACCAATTTAACCATTCAAAAAATTTAACAATAGCTAGAAGGCTGATAGTCTGCGCTGAGAGAACTCAGAACATCTTAAACAAACAACAAAATGACGACATTATAATCCGCTGATATCTGTCGCTTTATTGAAATCTAGAGGCAGGGTCCAATAAGGTTCATATTTTTATATAATTCTTATCGTTTCCCATTCTTTATTCCAGATTAGTCTTAATTAGAATTTTATTTGTATGAATTTACAAAAGTAAAGTTATAAATTTTGTCAAATGCGCCATTCTTCATATATTACATATTTGGCAACACCGTCCATGGTGACTATAAAAATGTACACACACACGCCGAAACACATAACCCTATCGGAATATTTTTATAGCGAGCGGTGAGTTGAGTGCAGTTCATCATCGACACATCACTTCCGCATCACCAGCATTTAGGCATATTAAAATCTAAATCCAAACACTACTTACTTACAAAAAAAAAAGTAATAACCTCATTTCACGTTGGACTTCGGAAGTAAGTACGTGCAAGTATGTAAGCGTGTGGAACAGGGTAGCTATCAGCCTTAATGGGTGCTTTAAAATCAAATAGAGTGATGATGCACTATGTTCTTAACTGCTGTGCCGTTACCTCGATGAAAGGGTGTACGGTGCGGTGCGGCAAACAATGCATTTGTTTACATTACACATTTCTCCGACACGAACAATTCGCAATGGAATTAGTGTTTTGGCTTCGAAATTGAAATCGCAAATGCCGCACCTTTTCACCAGCAGTCGATTCAATCTATTCTATTTCGTATTATTTACTCAACCAGTCAAAATTTGTGTCCTTTCGGCGTTCCGAGTACACGAATACAGACGAGCATAATGCCACAGGCAAATCAAAAGGCTTAAAGCAGATGGAAGGACCTTGGCATACACTTACATACTTCTATGTAGTTGAACAAGTTCTTAATGCAAACGTACATATGTATGCATCTGAGCGGATATAAGTTCATACAAATATATGTACGTGGACACCCATTGAAATGTCCGTTTGCATTGTTGACTATGTGGCAGTGAAAGTCAGAAAAGCGCATGACGGCCTTTTAACTTACATATTCTTTATGTCAGTTTGTTGGCGCATGAAATGGAAATCAAGTTGCTTTGGGATTTCTATAATTGAGAAAAATAATTAGCAATTTTTGTTAACATAATATTACACGCATACAAACATATGCACATGGAAACAACCGCTATGCTCAGTGTAATCACTTTTTTTCGATTGGATTAGTATGTCTTGAAGCTGTACCTTACCTAAACCCAATAGAGAAATAGGTGCAAAATCATTTCAGTAAAATTTTATAATTCTAAACACAACTTTGCAATTCACAAATCGTTAGTGTTGCAGAAACAGTAGTATACCTCAGGAGTTTTTATTTAGATAAAAAAATTAATAATTTATTATTGCAGTAAATAATGTTTTCCTTCAGATTTTGTGTTGCCCATTAGACAATCATTATAATCACGCAGTTATATGCATTAGAATTAGAATTAGAATTAGAATGAGCAGTAACTTTTACTTTCTCAAAATAGAGTTACGACACTTAGCACACGAATTAAATATTCATATGTGTGTATATTTTGTGAGCTTTATACGAATATTTTAGGTGGTCATCAATTTTGAATCCAGTATCTAATAAGTGATTCAGTACCCCTGGAATCCCTTGTTATCTGAGCTTCGATAAGAAAAAAATGCACAGGAAGTCAAACCTAGATAATATGGTGAGTTAGTCTTAGCGAATTCTCTCCGAAGTTTTTTTTATAGAAAAAGTTTATATGCTTTGGTACTAATCGATCCTATTAGAGTAAATCTTTGTCCTGTTTGTTAAAGATTTTCTGCATTTTCTGCATTTTCTCAATGTCGTATATATTCTTTGGGTGGGCGCCAGTAAAATTCCTTAACTTTCCAAAAGCATTTGAAGTAGAAGTATAGACTGTTTTTTCAAGAGTACAGGTACCACGTCGAAAATCAATGAAATCATTCAAAATTGCAAGACTTCTTCGAAATGATACGACATCCACCGAATACTAGGGATCTGGCCTCAACGTATTCCTGTTTCACAAAAATGGTCCCGAAAATTTAAAAGAAGTGCTTTCCTTCAAAACGATACTTTTCAGACTAGCTGTGTGATTATATGAAGAGCAAATGAAACTTTAAAGGCCGTGATATATGAGGTTAGTCATATTTTAATTCGTGGATAAGGCACCAAAAGGCATATTGGCATCGTTGCCGCAAAGAAATGGTAATTTTGGTTTACAATTTTTGCACCCAAGCTGTAGTTATTTTGTTTAAATATTTCTAAATCGGTATATAATAGATATTTTGACTTTAATGCTTACTATTTTAATATTTATTATTGAATAAAGCAGCGTTTAGAGGGTAAAGCTAAATGAGCTGCGACCTTCACGACCTGAAAAAATTGTTTAACGGACCTCTGGTCATGAATGCGACACGAACTATGTTTATGAGTTATATTTTTTAATTTGGTTTGTACGCAGGGCTGGTGGTCCAGAAAGTTGGTCAAAACCGATCTCAAAATCGAGCCGACGGAATCATCCAAGACCATAGGTACCCTCAGCAAAAGCTGGCATGCCAGCAAGAGTCGATAGATGCCAGCAGACTTTTAATAAAAAAAGCGTTAATAGTTGATATTAGCCGTCTTTATAACTTTGTGGTAAGCTCAAAGCGCTGTTTCGACTAAAAGGGTCTGGTGATCCATATCTCAGTATTTTGAGAATAATAATGAAACAGCGTTCACAGTTGTTCAAGTGGAATCTTGCATTATTCTTGAGACGAGAATCGGCCATTAAACTAACATAACTTGCTGTTATTCTAAAATTTACTCTTCCAATATGGTAAAAGCTACTACTGCGAAGCATTAAACAAAATCTTGAGAAACTGTTCACAAGTTAATAAAACTTTTTGTTGTATTCGAAGAAAACCTTAATGAGAAAACAAAAGAAGAAAAAGAGAATCAAATTCGTTTCAAAACTCAATGTATTTTTTTAATATGCTCAATTCTTTCAATAAATATATTTTATTCTTTATAATATTTGCATTTTGTTCAAAGTTTTTTCCAAGCAATGTATGACAGTACAATTGATTAAATTACTAAGAGTATAATAAATAAATAAACAAATGATATCTGGGCAAATTCTGCTCTAATAAAAATTAAAAAAAAGTAATAAATAAACATTTCCACGATTATGCTCTTAATACAAAATACATATTGTACACATACTTTTAAAATCGAATCGTAAGTGCAAATAAAAAAGTTGAGTAAAATTATTTGAATACATTAAAAAAATTAAAATAAATTTCACCATTATGCGAGTGATCATTTGAAGGCCCTTAAGTTTGGGCGAGAAACGAATTCCTCTCATAATTATATGAATATTATTCGAATGCACTGTAAATGCGTTAATTTGATAAGATATTATCTTGATCTTCACCTTTCGATGCTTACAACTAAATTCACTAAGATTATTATTATTAAGCAGATAGGAGCTTTCGCCTCTAAAGTACGAGAGCATATCACAGTTTCCAGCACTTTTTATATAGCAAGGCACTTGGAGTGCGAAAGCACTTTTTCTAAACGAGCGCCCGTTAAGGCAATTAATCCATTTAAGCGATCCCGCGCGCAACTTATTGGCAATATATAAATATTGCGGCAGCAGTTTTGCGGTTGCGATAGCGATTGCGTTTGTAACTTTTCTCAGCACTCTAGAACGCAGCGATTTTAAATCTTGCGTTGACTGTACATATCGGAAATTAGCCGGACGATATTGACTTCGCCAATTGTCTTTCGGAAGAATAACTCCTCGATTGTGAATCCCGACACTTTGCTGAGCAGTGGTACTATACCGACCAATGCTTGAAAACGCAATGGTTGTGTTGGTTTCGTGCGCATCACGTAAGCTTGCAAGGTACTACGTGCCTCTTCGTACAGACCGGATATTCTGGCCGATTCGACAGGGCCACGCGAATCACCGGACGTACTGGAATTTGGACTGCTACTTTCGCCAGTACCAAATGAATTGTTAGCAGCATCTTCGCTTCCGTTTGGCTTACGGAAGAGCGTGATTGCACGTAAGCACTCATACTCATTGGTATCAATATTGAGATGACACAATTTATTGAGTACCTCTTGAAAGAAGTGTACTTCGCATTTCACCATATTAACCACATCACGATTCATATTCTCCGATTCGTAGAGAAAGAGTAACTGTTGAAAATTAATCGGCATGAGATGCTGGGCCATTGCTAATATAAAAAACTCCTTCCATGATTCCTCCAACAATTGTAATTGATCAGGCATTGGCAATTGCTGGAATGCTTCGACACTCTTAATCCAATTCACGTTCTTGAAGAGATGCTCGGCGGCAGTCTCTTTTAAATGCTCTGCGGCCATTAATGGCGGTGTTGGTGGCAACGAACGATTCATGAACGAGTTTTGCGCAAAAAACCCAAATGGATGCTGATGCATGGCATGGTGCGCTGCTACACGTGAAACGGATAGATCCAGAACTATAGGTGGCTGGAAAGGATTGCCTAAAGCTGGATGTGGATGATGTCGTGGTGGTGGTGGTGGAGGTGGTGGCGGTCCACTCGGTATTAGCATAGGCGTCATTGGAAAGCCATTAAATATACTATGACTAATCATCAGATCGGTTGGCAATGGATCTGGGCCCATTACAACTTCCTTATACAAAGCCATTTGCCGACGCAATGTGGAGTTACGCGGTCCACGTTCATGTTGTACGGCATCCTTGTTCATGCCAACTTCGAAGCATTTGCGCAAGCGACAGGCGCGACATTGATTGCGATGTGTTTTGTCGACCACGCAAACTCCTTGCTTCTGCGACTTGCAAACGTATTGGCGTGAGCGTCGTATGGAACGCTTAAAAAATCCGGCACAACCATCGCAAGCATAGATGCCGTAATGCTTACCGGAACTATGGTCGCGACAAACTTTGCAAGGCACATGATATAGTATACGACCTAAAGGGAGTACACATGAAAAAAGTAATTATTAGTTGAGGTTTTGCCAAATAGCAATTATGAACAGCGGGCGTTGAAACTGCGACGGTCTTTTCGCTGAACGCACAAAGCGTTATGGCGATAAGTGGCAAAATGGAACGCCTCCCAAGCCAGCCTTCACGCAGACGGAAAGTAGTGGAGGGTTGCACATATTGCGCTTTTACAGTTCCAATCCGCCTATTGCCGTGCAAAAATGCCTGCATGCATCGACGTAATCCCGGAAAAGCGTATACTTACTTGAAGAAGCTGGTGACAAGCGCGCGGCATTGTATTTGTTTTCCGCAGCTTCCGATGATACCTCGGCGGAATTCATCTTTTTCTGCCGTGTGCTGGCACCACTTGGAACAACTTCGTATTATTCAATCACTTGTAAAGTCTTTGCACTTTGGTTTGTTGCTTTCTAAAACAGTTTTCAGTTATCGTTTATCTTATACATATACATATATATATATATATATTATACTGTTTTTGTTTTTGTAACTATTATTATTTTTTTTTGTTGTTTTTTGTATTTTGACACTAAACTAACGCGATCGTCTTCAAATGCACTCATACAACTGGACGACTATTGCGCACGAGATCTCGAATGGTTGTGATGCTTTCTTGCGATTTTGCTCCTGCTTTAATAGTCCTAGCCGCGTTGAAATATTCTTTATGGATATCTACGCATTATTTGTGCATTACCATTTCCATGTTAATAGTTGCTGATCATCCCTCTTGTATTTGAGTTCGTTCATTGGCTGTCGCGGAAGCGTACATTAAGGGTGTGGTTTCCCTTGCTCTTTCTCAATTGCAATTGCCTTAGCTGAGAGTAAGTGAGAGAATTCCAGATTTTTTCGGCAGATCCTGCAACTGTTGACGACCTGCCATAATAGAAAATAGAGGAAAAGCAGAGAATTCTCATCATTTTGTGTATAAACCAAAGCAGATCGCTCTCTAATACTATACAAATGGTGTTAGAGCCGCTGCTGCTGACACTGCTGCCACCGCTAGTGATGACCTTTATTGCCACCAACAACAACAACAAATACAAATACGCTTGATATCTGTGCAATGTCGCAAAAGTGGCGCACACGTTCGCGCTCTTTATGCTGCTTCTTCCTCTTCTTGCCATCTTCTTTTCTCTTTCGCCTGCTATTATTCTGGTTAAGTACTCATAATTATGTTTTCAGTTTGGTCTATTGTGTGACATGGATTTTTATGACACAGCCATTCTTTTGATTTAATGGCGTTTGTGTGCACTCATCACAGCCATCTATGCGTGTACCTGCTCTAATGATAGGGTTGTTATTGTTCTTGAGTTTTTTTTTCGCACGGCCGGCCTATTTTTTACTTTGCGCAATTTAAAAATGTTTTACAAATTATGTTTAAACTTGTAAATATAACGCCTCGGTAAAAAGTTTTTAGCCCACAAAATTTTGATTCGACAGATTTATTTGGATTTTAAACCCATAAGATTCTTCTTGTAATATATTGTGTATTAATTTGTTTAATAAAAAATATATTGATTTACCGTCTGAATTTTGTAGTTTATTGTGCCCTGTTTGGAAAACTTTGCAAATTGTGCACTTTTTTGTACAAAAAACTAACAACCACACAAATCCCTAAAAACTACTAGAAAGCATTGGCCACATGTAAATTCTTTTGCATAATTTATCGTAGTACTTAGATCCGTTATTCGTTATGGAATTTTCGGTGTTTTTGTTATACTTTGATGAACAGAGTTGCAATTGGTTACGTAGATTAAAAAGTTTATATTGTGTGGTTAAAACTATTTATTGATTAATAATAGAGTTTTTGAATAAATATTAATTATTTCTTAATAATAATGTTTGATATATTCGTTGAAGTTTTAATATTTAAAAATCGACTTATAAATAATAATATTGATCTATGTGTATAAATATTTTCTGTAGAGTTTGAACTTTGAAGGCACAAAATTTTTTAGAATATTTAAAAATTTCTGTGTAAAATATCTTTGATTAATTTAACGTAATCTAAGTTAATTTCAAAATGTAGATAATATTAGTATAAGCAAAAATTTGGTTCGACTAAAATATAGTGAAATAATTTAGCTATTAGAAAGACAATTTTGATACCAGGAATATTATTTGTTTTTTAAAATTAAGTTTTATATCTTAAAATAAAAGCGCCGAAAAGTATTAATTAAATTTCTACATACCCAATTAAACCATTTAACCTCTAGTGCTGAAAGCACTCTTTTTAGTATAAGGTTGCCTCACCAGACAGCGGAGTTTTTACAGCGCTTTCTTCTTTCTCAATAAAAATCACCTAAAGAATAAAAGGAATTTCACTTGATTTGTAAGCTGTACCGTTAACATAACACTTAATTTCCATTATTACCATACCATATTCCATATTATATATAACGAAGTGATTTGAGTCTATGATGGCCTCTCTGGTAAGAATATTGTAATAAGACCCCTTACAACATTTAATTATAATAGAAAGCAATCGTTTTTCTAAAGGCAGAATATGAAAAAAATTTGGAAGTAAGATCGCCGATCTCGTTCTTTTGACGGCCTTCTAAGTAAAATATGTGCAAAAGCTTGAAATTGCTAGCTTGTTGTTTTTATTGTTATAAAATTCTTAACTCATTAGCAATATCCTAAGCAATTCTGTATTAATTATGCCACAATCTAAAATATAATCTTTATTTCTGGAATATTTCACCTACAATATTATCTCAATGTTAGCAATATAAATATAAACATTAAACAAATACAAAAATTAAAGCATTTAAACAATTATAAAATTAAATGTACTGTAATCAAATATACAACTGGCAGCGTATAATTTTCGAATAAATCTTAAATTTTTGGAGTATTCTGGTCTAGAAATTTGAAAAAAAAAAAAATATTTCATATATTCAAAGCTTTAACGTTCAAAAATAACATATGTCATTTAGAGGATTTGTCAAAATTTTAATTATATGCGAAAGTTTAGCTATTTTAGTGATTTGATATTCAAATCGACTGGGCCGGTTGACACTGAACGAAATTTTCTTCCAACCATCTCATCAAAAGCTATGACGTTATAAAGTTTTCAATTTGTTCTGTATTCAAAAACATGAGTTAATATCTTGCTAAACAATTGATGTTAAAACTATTATTTTTCCATTTTTTATTTATAGCACCTCAAATTCATGCCATATAACAGCGTATCCCACATAACTTAAATACTATTGTTATTGCATCGCTTTTGATTAGCGCATCTAAAATACTTTGGTTTATTCTTCGTATGCTCTTAACCAGTTTTAATATGAATATATCTAAAATTTGACATAGAAGTCCAAGATTTTATTGTAATTCTCCAAAACACATCTGGATCTAAAAATTTAGTAAAACGTAACATTTTTTTCCAATGACCATTTTATTATTATATAATTTAATTTAGCATTTTAATGTATTTTTTTATGTAGTTTGTAATATATAGTTCATATAAATCATATAGTTTGTATAGGCTTTAAAAACGTTTAAGTGTCATCATGTTCCAAGATCAGTATTCAATATTTATAATAAATATATTAAGAAAATACAACATACATATGTATACCTATGACAAATTCTTCAAATGCAAATAGAGTCAATTGCTTCTCTTTTGATGCAATTCCCCTTAAAAGCATGTTCTTGTAACTATACTACTTTTACGGTCTTCATCGCGTAAAACATTTTAGAATAAAAAAGAACTTCTTGAAATATGATTAAACTACTTTTAGTTCTGGTCAACATTTTTATAACTGTAAAAAATGTTAGCATACTTTAGATCTTTATTGAATTACCTTTTGGTGCTTCCCATCCTTAGATAATACACAACGGCAAAAACCCGATATAAGTTTTTAAATAAACCACAAATATTAATGTTATATAAACTGTATTCAAATTGAAAAACCCGAGATAGTGGTCAGAATTAGTGTATAGTGGAGATAGTAATTTGGTATTCACATTTCACATACTACCCTGTACTTATATTAACTCTTTTACCATTGTTGTTGCGTGCAAATGTAAATTTAATGACAAGAGAGCGAACTTCAATGAAAAGACAACAGTAAACATGGAAGTTATGAATAAACAACGGATATAGTTTTGGAGTTTGAGTTTGTTGTTGTTTTCACGCAGTTTTATGAAGATCAGTTACACACTGACCGACATATTGTGTATAAATTTTGCTAAAATAACAAATATCATTATATAATATATTGTATATGATTCGTAAACTGATTTTACACATTTTCGGCATTAAATTATAATATATCCATCATTATGCGATCAGTTAATTTTACTAAAATATTTTACATATTGACCGAATTTTACGGTATTAAGCCAACCGGAAGTTTGAAATTCTTATATCTATTAGGTATGTGAGGGCTAGTGCAAGTATTGCCCTGATTTTACACGCCTTGGTATAAGGGCATGTTGTCATCATTAAAATATTCACTCCGAATTTCAATAAAAGACCTCACAGATTGACTGATAATTTGGTAAAAATGTCAACCATAGATATTGGGGACTATCGGGGTCGAAATATAGGGTCTTGAAAAGTTATAGTTATTTTTGTGCAAAGTTGTATTACAATAACGTCATTCTCGGCTTTGGTTATTATCCGTTTTTGCCCAATTTTGCTATGTAAGATAAAAATATTTGGATAATGTTTTGGACCATATTTGGTTAAAATTGAACGAGTAGTTCCTGAGCTTTTAGCTAAAAGTGGGAAGCGGCTCTTATGAACCCCTTTTTTATCATATAGGAAGTGAAATTCAATGCTTCTGACGTATTTATTTCGTGAGTTATCACTATATCTTTCGATTTTACTCATTTCAGAGTTGCACTGGGAGCTGATTAAAAAATACTTGTCTTGACCGAATTTGGTTAGTATATATGTATTTCGTGGTTTGTGGGATATGTTCTCAAAAACTCATTAGGGCAGGGTATGCTGTTCCCTTAGTTGATCTTCAAGAGGATCTCCGAAAAAAGTTGTCTGGCAGTGAGCAAGATTTTTATTGTCAAAATCTTATTTACTCGATCATTACCAGACAAAAGTCGTGCACAAATTTCAACCCGATCGGTCTAGCCGTTTTACAGAAATATTGCTGACTGACTCTAGCTAAACAGCGTTTCGAGAAAAATACGTTTAAAATAAAGTTAGTAAAATCGATTACAATTTGTTGAATAATTCTTAAAAAATACGCTCATATCTCCGAAACTATTTGCCGGATCAACTAAAAATTTTTGGAATAAGTATACTCCTCAAATATATGGAAATCCCATACACAGGCAAAAAGATTCGATATTTTTAAATTAAAAAATAGATATATCTCCTTAATAAAGGGAATATTAAAGCAGAAGAAAATGAAATAAAGGGCGAACATTTCTTCTCTATTTAACCTTTTCGTTATGGTGGTGAAATATTGCTTTAAAATTATTATACCACTACAATTAACGAAGTTTTCGATCTAGCGATCAAATATCTATTCATACATACAAACACCTATAATTGAAATTTCACAATATCAATTTGATGTGTCAAAACACTGTTTCCTATTACCTATTCATCACTCAGAGGCCGGCAAACACCCAACACATAACACACCGCGCATGGCAATTAAATGCTATGGGAAACTTTTTACCGCTACAAATTAAGTAATAAGAAACTGAACAATAAAACGCTTGACATGACAACACACAAAATGGTCTAATTAGAATAAACTTTCCTAGAAGTATGTGCTCGTCCACTTCATACACCCACCTCTCATATTTATTCCCATTCATGTCGGACACTTCCCAAGCCACTTGCCACCCCACTGTGATACCATGTCGGCATGTGCGAATGCATGTATGAAATATAATGCATATAATGAAATAGAACGAAATATAATAGAAGAGCAATCAAGGGTTGCTTCGGCAGTTATCAAAAGTTCATCTGCCGGTGGCATCACATTGTAGGTGGCAAATAAACAATACACCAACAACAAGCTATGACGATAGTGCAATTAAAGTGCGCAACCACCTTTGCATCGCCCGTTCGGCGTAGCAGCATTCAATGTATGGGAATTTTCTGATATTCACTTACTTTTTTGATGATTCGATTGCGTGTGTGATGCTATGCTCGTTGATGCAAGCAACTTTAATTCCGTTGGAAAGTGAGTACCTTTAACTATCATCATGTTAATATGTATGCTAGAATTAATGCAGATGACATGACATATTCAAATTGATGTTTCAGTGATGATCACATGTAGGATATGAAAAAAAAAAACGTGAGAACTTTTGTATGATGAGGCTGCGCTGTGTTCATTTGAAGTGTTTTTAACCCAGTACATCACTTTAATTTTGAGAAAATTTGGGATCTATAAAGGGCTTGTGTTGAGGTTGTAAATCGTACTTTGAGTTACTGAATGGCAAGAGTATTTTCTTTCTTGATCACCTTGGCCTGTCTGGAAGCTTCCTATTGATGAATTGGTAATGAAAAGCACTAATTCAAAAATA